GAAGAAGTATTTGAGGTCCGTCAGTCTAAAGTTGAAGAAGTGGAAGAAGTAATTGAAATCCCTCAGCCTCAAGTTGAGGAAGTGGAAGAAGTATTTGAAATCCCTCAGCCTAAAGTTGAAGAAGTGGAAGAAGTAATTGAAATCCCTCAGCCTCAAGTTGAAGAAGTGGAAGAAGTTATAGAAATCCCTCAACCTCAAGTTGAAGAAGTGGAAGAAGTCATTGAAATCCCTCAGCCTCAAGTTGAAGAAGTGGAAAAAGTTATAGAAATCCCTCAACCTCAAGTTGAAGAAGTGGAAGAAGTAATTGAAATCCCTCAGCCTCAAGTTGAAGAAGTGAAAGAAGAAATTGAAATCACTCAGGCTGAAGTTGAAGAAGTGACTGCAGAAGTTGAAATCCCTCAACCTCAAGTTGAAGAAGTGGAAGAAGTTATAGAAATCCCTCAACCTCAAGTTGAAGAAGTGGAAGAAGTCATTGAAATCCCTCAGCCTCAAGTTGAAGAAGTGGAAGAAGTAATTGAAATCCCTCAGCCTCAAGTTGAGGAAGTAGAAGAAGTATTTGAAATCCCTGAGCCTAAAGTTAAAGAAGTGGAAGAAGTCATTGAAATCCCTCAGCCTCAAGTTGAAGAAGTGGAAGAAGTAATAGAAGTTCCTCGGCCTCAAGCTGAAGACGTGAAAAAAGAAGCTGAAATAAGACAACTGTCGACTGAGCCCACAGAAAGTGTTGATCTAGAAAAGAAGAGTGAATTCCTGGTTGAATATATTGATGCAGATAAAGACATTGATGAAAGTGAGAAAGTGTTCACAGTCAATGAGGCAGACGTCAGTGTTGAAGAGTTTATTACAGCAGAGGAGACTGTAGAAGCTGAAATAATTCTGGAACCACATAAAGAGGAGCAACTAGTTAGTGCTAAGATAGAAGAATCTCTCCAGCCAACAGACACAACTGCAGACTTGATATTATCAACTGAAGCCCTTCCATCAGTGGAAGAACTTGACCAGTTGGATACAGCTGTCCCCTCCATAGTAGAAGTGGTGACAGACTTCACTATTACTCCTTCACAAGCTCCAGTTGCAGATGTTGACAGGGAGCTGACCTTAAGAGAGGAAGCCCCTGAAGAAGTGGAAGTAGAGAGGACGATAGAGGTGGGTTTGCATCAGATCATTGCGTGCAAACTATCACAGTCATTATCACCATTGACATTTTGTCTTTCTGGGACATTTCAGAGACCATTAATTATATGTTCTAATCACGTCTAATTTGACCATCTAAAGTCCTTTTGAAGTCAAAGATTAGTGATAGTTTTCTGTTTCCACAACAATTTAAATTTTCTGTATCAGAATTTTTGGATTTAAAATCAGATTAGTCATAGAATAGTAACACTCCTACCTATAACTGCAGAAGTTAGGGTGCTAGGGGATGTTATCGCTTTGTTATATGGGGACAGAACAAAAGCCAACATTCTAGGGTGAATGAAGAAACATAGAGTGGTAACATTCCTCCTCTACAACAGCAACTTCATGTGTGAGATGTTACCGTAGCCTAAATCTTCGCATAGTTTGAGTTAAGATATATCAGTATAGAACAGAATGCAATCAAATATTCTAGAGTGACTGAAGACATGCAGTGAATAACAAAGACCATGCATGTAAATAAAAAATAAATATTGAAGCATTTTCTAAGTAAACCTTAAACAGATGGAAATCTTAGTTACAGTGTTCAGGTATTGATGAACAGTGAGAAATTATGATGAGAAGCTGTGTTTGTACATAACAGTATTTATGGGTATCAGCAGTGTCTGTACTTCCTAGAAGATTATCTGATACCTATTTTAGGAGACACGGTTGAGTAAACCTGTTTTAATTTAGGTAATTTTACTACACAAACGTACAAAAACTGGCTGTAAAAGCTAAGTAAAATAAATATTTTTTAATAAATCAGTTGACATAATATCATTATATTTTAATTTCGCAAATCAAACTATTGTAATATCCTTTTGTTTATCTGTAGAAGATTCTATATTGAAAAATATAAATCTATTTAGTGCCAAATAGTTGCAGAGTGTAGTTCCACTGTAAACATTACAGTTGTGTACAGTGGAGATTACAAAGGACAGTGCTTAGTACATAACAGTAGAAAGAATTCCACCCCCCCCCCCCCCCCCCCCCATACATAAAATACAGGAATGATAAAATGTTCAGTTGTTCATCTCCATGCTTTAGTTTGCAATTATAAATAGACAGACTACAACAGTGATTTCTTTTCCTAATGAATAAACCATCCGTATTGACCAAGTATCTTGACCACTGGCAGTTAGAATGGTAGATCCAATAAAACAAACTAGGTATGTACATTTACTTAGAAAGCACTGTATATATTCCCTATTTCCCTAAATTACATATGTCCATATAGTTTCCCAGTTGCAAATTGTTTTCCTCTCCTTACCTCACAAACCTTGTACACATGTAGTTATGTTTAGTACTCAGATAGTGTAGTTGTAGTGATATGTATAAAATATGTTTCATGATTTGATTGTTTAGCATGGATGGGGATCATCTCAAAGGAACTTCTCATTCTCACATATTGATGAGTATCTTGTTTCAGATCCGATGCATTATTCAAATAGCTACCAATGTATGGTCCTGATAAGTTGCAAAGTTGTGTTTTCTGAACAGTTTTGTTCTGGTGTTGTGTGTACCAGAGATTACTCTGGGACAGTCTGCTTAACTGGCATAATTCAGACAATATTATCTTCTTGTGCTTTTTGGGCATCACAGTTCATCATCCAAAGTCTTTCATCAGAGTGTCATCTCCATGATGAAGGTTGTCTGCAGTGTATCTTCAACAAGCGCTGTCTGTTGTCCTGGTTGTACAGTCCAGCAGACAGCGGTTTATCTGTCTCTTTATGCTGTCTTCCAACTCGTATTGCTGTCTACATCTTGGTGGCTTGTTTTCAATGTTTCCATTCAGTATGATTTGTATAAGAAGGTCATGTCTTTTTAATGTGACCTAAATATTTCACCAGTCTCACCGTAAAATCATGGTATTCTTTTTCCCCCCATGAAATATGACATATTGTGCAGTACATCCACATCTCAAAGGCTTCATTGCCTGCTTGTTTATTGTCCAGGTATTTGTACTGTACTGTACGTCAACAGCCTGTCCTCGGTATGTCTTAGTGGGATAAATATGAGTTTAATTCATCTGAACCCAATAGATAACTCTCTTCTGTTAGGTAACAGTTACACAAGAGCATTTGCAAACTTGCCAAAGATTGAAAGTCTCGGACAGAAAATCTAATGATGTTGGTTATGTTTTTTCATTCAACTTGTCTCTAGTTATTCACTGTAATAACATGGCTTTTATTTTACAGCATTAGATTTGCTAGTCTGTAGATGATAAATAGTTTAGAAGCTTGCTGATCTAGAGCAGAAAGTCGTCACAGACACACTGAAACTAGTCACAGTCATAACAAGCATCATCAGTATTGTCATTCTAACCTACTCTGTCTGTAATCATGGGCTCATTAGTTGTTCATTCTTCTAGCCCAGTATGTTTTATTGTTGTCATTTGTCATCTCACTTTAACCAATGATTTTTTCCTGTTTTCATTCGTGCTGTCAGTTTAAATTCATTATTTAGTTTATGTTGTCATATATCATCTGTTTTAACTCATTATTATTTCATTTTTATTTTGTCATGTTGTCTTCTTATTTTGGCCTGTTATTTGTCTCCTGTTGTCATTTGTCATTTTAGTTTAATTCATTGTGTATTTCCTTTCTCATTTCCCTTTTAATCCAGTGCTGGATATTTTAAACAATTTGTTGTAATCTTTTATTTATTTCCTATGTTATTTCTTACAAATTTTAAGTACAAACATGCCTATTTATAAACAATGAGACAAGTAAATATAGCATCATACTTTATATATTAACAAAGTATTCATATTCTTTTGTAAAAATGTTCTCCTGTTTTCATATTTTTTTCTTTTTCTTCTTCTTTTCGTTCATTTGAGTTATGTAACTGTGTTGTGACTGTTTACAGCAGAACTGCAATATTTGTGCCTTTTAGCAAGTTTTATTATTTTATTGACATACTTTATTTTCTTGGAAGTGGACCAGATATTGTAGTTCTAAGACATGCCAACTTGTATAGTTATAGTCATACATTTTGGTCAGTGTCTGTACTTGTGGTAAGTCAGGCATTTATTAGTCTAGACCCCTATTTGGTCAAAGAGGGATCTAAAACTATAACTCTTTCTACATCAGGCAGTTACTAGCCCAAGGATTTTTTTTTTAGAAAGCGTTGCATTTTTTAGACTAAAGGGGTTAGCAATTTAACAGTATGGATAGAATGGTTGAATATAAAATCTCTCTCTGAAATAGAATAGAGCAAGAACAATATACTGTCTGTGATGGTGGCTACGAAGACATGATCAGCGGTTTGGTACCCAAAGAAATCATAGAACCAGTAACATGTGACTAGGGTAGGCTTGACGCTTAACACCTTCAGCTGGTTATTTTCTTGGAAATTCCAGGTTATTTGTCTCTTAATAATACATTGCGGCTCTTATCTGCTACCCTCACTTGTCTCGGGTCTTGGATTTGCATCTACATCAAGATACATTGTAAAAATTGGTCCTGGGCTATGAGGTTTTCCAAGTTTAAAATTGGAACAAGGGAATGTGATAGGAAGTAAAGTGTGATGATAACTACATTATTTATTTATTACCAACTGTTTTATAACAATTGTGGCTGGAACTCAGTTCCAGTGGAGAAAAACCTGATACTATAATTAAATCGTAATTACTGAAATCTTTGAGCCGTACATACATGTGTTGTTAAAGACACACAGTGGTAGGTTTCTGTAGTATTTTTTTAAACGTAAGAAATGCCATCACACTTGAAAGGTTGGCTAGCACACATGATTAACAGCCAACCAACCACACATGCTGCCCTGCCTGGGACAGAAAGGGTTAATTACTTGACTGTTACTTCTCACAGAGACCTGAGCCAGTGTCTGAGGAAGTCTCCGTGGATGTGACCTTTGCCCCCACACTTCTTTCAGAGCTGACAAATCAAGAAGTTAATGAAGGTGAAACTGTAACACTGCAGATTACAGCCACAGGAGCTCCCAGACCACAGGCCAAGTGGTAAGTACAGTCTCTGCTCACAGTCTCTGCTCACAGTCTCTGCTGACAGTCTCCGCTGACAGTCTCTGCTGACAGTCTTCGCTCACAGTCTCTGCTTACAGTCTTTGCTCACAGTCTCTGCTTACAGTCTCTGCTCACAGTCTCTGCTTACAGTCTTCGCTCACAGTCTCTGCTGACAGTCTCCGCTGAAAGTCTCTGCTGACAGTCTTCGCTCACAGTCTTTGCTTACAGTCTCTGCTCACAGTCTCTGCTCATAGTCTCCGCTGACAGTCTCCGCTGACAGGTCTCTGCTCACAGTCTCTGCTCTCTGCTCATAGTCTCCGCTGACAGTCTTCTCCGCTCACAGTCTCCGCTCACAGTCTCTGCTCACAGTCTCCGCTCACAGTCTCTGCTGACAGTCTCTGATGACAGTCTCCTCCGCTCACAGTCTCTGCTGACAGTCTCCTCCGCTCACAGTCTCCGCTCACAGTCTCTGCTCACAGTCTCTGCTGACAGTCTCCTCCGCTCACAGTCTCCGCTCACAGTCTCTGCTCACAGTCTCTGCTCACAGTCTCCGCTCACAGTCTCAGCTCACAGTCTCTGCTCACAGTCTCCGCTCACAGTCTCCGCTCACAGTCTCAGCTCACAGTCTCTGCTCACAGTCTCTGCTCACAGTCTCCGCTCACAGTCTTTGCTCACAGTCTCTGCTCACAGTCTCTGCTCACAGTCTCCGCTCACAGTCTCTGCTCACAGTCTCTGCTCACAGTCTCCGCTCACAGTCTCCGCTCACAGTCTCTGCTCACAGTCTCCGCTCACAGTCTCCGCTCACAGTCTTTGCTCACAGTCTCTGCTCACAGTCTCCGCTCACAGTCTTTGCTCACAGTCTCTGCTCACAGTCTTTGCTTACAGTCTCTGCTCACAGTCTTTGCTCACAGTCTCTGCTCACAGTCTTTGCTCACAGTCTCCGCTCACAGTCTTTGCTCACAGTCTCTGCTCACAGTCTTTGCTCACAGTCTCTGCTCACAGTCTCCGCTCACAGTCTTTGCTCACAGTCTCTGCTCACAGTCTTTGCTTACAGTCTCTGCTCACAGTCTTTGCTCACAGTCTCTGCTCACAGTCTTTGCTCACAGTCTCCGCTCACAGTCTTTGCTCACAGTCTCTGCTCACAGTCTTTGCTCACAGTCTCTGCTCACAGTCTCTACTCACAGTCTTTGCTCACAGTCTCAGCTCACAGTCTCAGCTCACAGTCTCTGCTCACAGTCTCCGCTCACAGTCTCTGCTCGCAATCTCTGCTGACAGTCTCCGCTGCCAGTCTCTTCCGCTTACAGTCTCCGCTCAGAGTCTCCTCTGCTCACAGTCTCCTCTCACAGTCTCCGCTCACAGTCTCTGCTCACAGTCTCCGCTCACAGTCTCAAATTTACCTCATGTTTTTGTTGTTGTTGTTGTTGGTCCTAACATTTAAAGATGCACTGTCCACTGTCTATTTACACTGTAATGTTTTCATTGTTTGAAAGGTTCCGTGATGAGGTGGAGATAACTTCTGATGCCCGCCATGACATTACAGACTTTGACACAAACTACACACTGACTATCAAAGATGTGACAGAAGAAGATGATGCTGAGTATACAGTAACACTGACCAATCCTGCAGGCAGTGTATCTTCTTCAGCTGAGATTGTGGTCAACCTTGTTGGTAAGTCACAAGTGATTCTATCAGGTTTTGAAAGATTGATATTTTGTGTGTGATCTCCTTTACTGCCCATGGGAGCTAATGTGAGATAGCCGCTGGATGCTCATATGCAAATCCAAAGGTCATAGGTTCATGCGTTGACAGAGCCAGCCTTTTTTTTTTTCTTTCTTTAACTTGGCTTGACTTTGGCTCTCCTGTTGACCCCACCTGAAATTGGTACCAGGTAAGTCCTTGGAAGTAAAAGTCACTGGTATGATGTTGATAATGTGACCCACCAAGGCCAATTGGTCTATAAAAGATAGGTCTAGCTCTGTCTGCCTAATACACCTGGAAGTGTGGGAAAAAAAGGTCTTTTAATTGATTTACTGCTCATATTTACCAATTTTTAGGGCATAGCAAAACATGGAGTTTTGAGTGTGATAATTTTGTCCACGTGGCTAGTACAGTTGCCCTGAAATGTGTGGGTTTGGATGTTTACTTTTGTCTGATATTTTCCCCATGTTTCACATGCATACAGTAGTACAACCCTGTAAAGCATTTTAATATTGCTCTTCTCGCTGCCAGTGTTTGATTCCAAGTCAAATATAATAGGACCTGAGAAAGCATTAATTTCCAATGTGTTTTTGCAAGTTATTCTAGTTCTTGTGAATGTCAAGGAAAAGTGAATATGTCCTGAAAGAAATCTTTAGGTTAAAAAAGAGGAGTCACTTAAAGGCCACTTTTGTGTTAATGCAATGAAATTTTGAGCCAAGGTTAATCAGTCCTCTTCCTTACTGCTTCTCTTCTCCCACTGAATGAGGTAAAAGGATTTCCATTTTAGAAATGTCCTGTTAACATGCCTAAAAAATTAATTAACTGTTTCACATTAATGCGACCGGAGGTAGCACTGAGGCTAGATGCTGGCCTGTCGGCCTGAACATGCTTGGTTCAAATCTAGCAGATTTTAAAATTCAAATTTGACTGCTCTCATTGCCTGATTGGCTTAAACAAGTCTAGCATCATATTCTGGATGTGCCACTGGGTCTTTTACTGACTTTGTAACATGTAATGCAATTGTGAGGAAGGTGTTGATGTTGATTGTTTACTGTGACTTTCACTTCTAGGCACAGCACCATCTTTTGTATCAACTCTGAAGGACATCACAGTGGAAGTCTCCAGGACAGTTGTACTGGAGGCCACATTCACAGGTGAACCAACACCTGAAGTTACCTGGCTCTTCAACGGTCAGACAGTAACAGACAAGCGGTACAGGTCAGTGATGTAAATTTTCATTCTGCTGATTTTTTAAATTCTGGTTTCATAAGGTTGCAGACCAATTTGTTTGGTATATAAGACCGGTTTGATGTGGACACAGACCACTTTGTTTGGTATATAAGACTGGTTTGATGTGGACACAGACCACTTTGTTTGGTATATAAGACTGGCTTGATGTGGACACAGACCACTTTGTTATGTTGATACAGACAATGTAATGGAGCACTGACCATTCAGAAAGTAACTGCAAATTACTAAATGTTAAACTGCCTAGTAAAACCAAAAACAGTTAACAAATGCTGGAGTTGGTCTGAGACATCTTGTAAAGGATATGCAATTAACTTTCTTGTTTTGAAATTGAATTTGTCTACAATAGCTGCCACCTGAGTATCTTATACTACACCATTTAAGAACCACTGGTGTTGTAACAGGCAGGGTAATGATTTATTCCCCACCCCCACGCCTATTCACATCAGTTTATATTTGTGTTGACTGTTAATGATATGTTTGTTTTAAGCTTCATATCAATAATTTCATTTCTTTGCTTTTTTCCCCCTCCAGAATTGAGAGCATTGATAACATTGTGAGACTGACAATAGATGAAGCTGAATCTGTAGATGCTGGAGTGTTCACCGTCACACTGACAAACAAACATGGCACCATCTCCAGCTCTGCTGAAGTCAGTGTCAGCTTCCAAGCCCCACAGTTTACCCAGCCACTGTCTGACATCCCCGTCAAGATCAAGGATACCGCTGACCTCTACTGTGTGGTCGTGGGCAAACCTCGTCCAGAAGTTCAGTGGCTTGCTGGAGATGTCCCTGTCAGGGAGGGACCCAAGTATAAAATGGTGTACAAGGATACGGCTGCATCCCTGAGGATCTTGAATATCACCCAGGAGGATGCTCAAGTTACCTACACTTGCAGGGCAACCAACATTGCAGGAGAGGCAACTACCCATGCCAGACTTCTGCCACAAGGTTTGTCCAATGTTCACAGCATGACAGAGCCTCCACCCTTCTTATAATCCTATAACACAAGTATACCGCTGTGCTTGAATTATTGCCACTTGTGTATTCATATGTGTCACCATGTACAGCCCACCCATCACACATCTAGCTAGCACAGATAAGTGTTAACAGCATTATTCATTGTTTATTTAACGATCATCTTCATAACACATTGGACATGATCATAATTGATACTATCTCCTCCCGAGTATGTCTTTAAGTGTTTTTAGGCTAACAACTCCCATTCTGTTCTGGCTGATGTAATGACATGTGGCTCCCACATGGTTTTCTCATCTTGCTGCTCCTGTAGGTATGCCCACCATATGCAGTCTGTTCAGTGGAGTATCATTTTCCATGAAATGTCATGTCTCTTATGTTAACATCTTGTCTAATATAGTCCATATCTATATCCACACTAGCCATCATGATATGGTCAATTAGATACAGTTGAAGATGTCAGTATCATTGACACATAGTTAGTGTCTGTGGCTTAGGCATTGTGAATGCCAGGTTCAGTCTCACTGCAGGTGAACTGGCAGCAAACCACATGGCTCATACTTCCTGCTCAGAACAGCTGCTTCCTGTTGAAATCATTGCACATAGCACAAAACAACAAAGCATGACACTATATAGCACTAGAATATCAGGAACTACATAGCTTCAGCAAGCAAAACCAAGTTTCTCTTAACCACCTGCACTCACAGACAAACTGATGGAGTCAGAAGTCATACCCACAATTTTCAGAGAGTGACAGATGGCTTAACCACTTACCATACAGATACCCCTTGCCAGCAGGTCATCTCTCGGGGGGCTAAACTACATGTAAACCAGGACCAGGGCTTCCAATTATCAAGATCTATTTACACTTCTCTATGGTCATCCTAGAAATGAGCTCCCAACAGGAGATTAGACAAACAAGGGTAGAATCAGTGTTTCCTTCAAAGTCTGAATACATCTGCCTGAGAGGTGAGGAACCAACACTTTTGCATACAAATGCCAGATCTGTTTTTAAAATATGGTTGTGTTTGCAATACTCGAGTCTTAGAACAAGATCAGATTTCAGAATTGGACAAACAACCAGGACTTTCTACTGGAGTTTACAGCCGGTGGACACAAAGAAGAATAAGTAGAACAAGTCTCTTATCTACAGTTAGATACATTATAGTGATACTGCATACATGTATAATGTTTATCAATCATGATCTGTATCTTGTGGGGGCAGCAAGATGTGGTCTTTTGTAATGTGCATGCCCATTTGATTTATTTTATATATGAGCTTGCATGAGTTAACTACACTAACTGTCATATCATGCCATGTGGCTAATGCTATCTTCAAGCTACTTAGCGTTCTACTTACAAATGGTATTTAACACTACTCCACGTACTTAACCATAATATTTTTATGTATATATATATATATATATATATATATATATATATATATATATATATATATATTATAATTTATAAATATAAATATAGTTGCGGAAAAAAAATATACTTATGTAGTAAATTAAGGACCTTCCTTGATACCCAGATACTGATGCATGGTAGTAATCCCCATTGTTTGATAACTGACTGACTTTTAGTGGGTGATGTAATCAGTGTCATCTTTCTTGGTTACCTTTACTTCCCAGAACATTACCTGGTACCCAGTTTTAGGCATAAGGTTATAATCTAAATGTGAGTGTCAGAAGGCCCTCCTCCCCAGCAACATGAATTCACTCAAGTGATGTCATACTAGTGTCATAATGCGTAGTGTGCTAATTATACTGATAATAGTGCTTGATTAAAGGTATAGTTGCAGCAAAATATACAATATATGTAATTTATATAATAACTAATGTATATTCTAAAAACTCGATGAATACTATATGTCCCAGTTATGACTCTGAGGGTTAAACAAGATATTTTTGAAAACAAAATGACCACTCAAAGCAATTATTTGTTCATGTTCTGTTCAAACCTGGAGCACTTTCTCATGTATGTGCCTTCTGAATTTCTGTCTCAGTAGTTCATAATCTTTGCAAACTCTGTCTCTACACTGATTTACTTTAAATCTTGTGATATCGATCATATTTATTTTTTAATAATTAATTTCTTTCATATGTCTGTAACAATTTATTGTTTTCTGTTGAAAAAATCCATAATTTGCATTATATGTAGGCATTTAATTTATCTGCGTTGTATTCAGCCATGTGCACACAGTTACTCTGTGTGTGTTAATTGGCAATGATCACAGCTGTATCTTTTATGTTGCTGTTTTATGATTTACATTTCTCTAAGTTTTATTTTCAATTGATTTATCTCATAATTTCCTTGTGCTGCTTGTGCTTTGACAGCAGTCAGTGGGAGATCATGTATTCCTAGAGTATCTTTTACACAATTAGTAATGAACTTCAAGCATTCATTGAGCCAGGCCTGCACAGAGTAGAGGGAAATAAATTATATGGAAGAAGCACTAATGTAGAACTTTGGTATAGAGCTAAAAGAATTGAAACAATTCCAAAAGTGAGAAAAATACCCTGGTGTCGAATAGAAAACATTCGAGAAAATCTGATAATAGTATAACAAGAATATCATTACACTGAAACACACCGGACCAAAGAAATGAACCCATTCAGTGCCAAGCAACTCATCATAAGTGTTCTAGGACTCCCACATGTGCTATGTTTTCTGTTACTTTGTTTTTCTTTTTTCTATTTTGGATGCAGTAAAGCCTCATTAACATAAAGTTCCAGGGCCCTATTTGGGGGTGGGGGTGGGGTGGGGGGGGGGGAAAGAATAGACATCTCACAAGCATGTCATAAGTGTTGACTAATTAGGGGTCTTTCCTTCAAAGTCAGAGTGCATCGGCCTGAAAGGCAAGGAACCAACAGTCTGCTTACAAGTAAGATAGATCTGTATAACAGATGTGCAAACAAACTTAAATTCTAGAACAAGACTAAAACCCCAGAAATGGATGAACAACCAGATCTTTCTGCTAGAGTTTATAGCTGGTGAATGTGAAAAAGAAGAAGAAGAAGAACTGACTTGAGAAGAAGACTTGCTTAACCTGAACCAGATTTTGAACCCTGCAGCAATTATGCCTGGTTAGCACAAATTTTGTTTACACTTGTTAACATGAACTCTTGAAGTCATATTTTCTGTCTCTTGGATTTTATGTTAACAAAGTTTTACTATATGAACTCATTCTATTCCAATTGTTACTTCAGTTTATGTTGTCCCATTTTCAAACAGATTTAGACCCAGCCTGTTATTATTTTTTAGACAGTAAATCTATAAGATAGATATTTTTGGAGAAATACTTTCCTGGGGCTGAAAGAGTTACAGGAGACCAACAATTCAGGAGGAAGAGAACTGGAAATAAAGCTGATTAACAAGTGGAGAACATAGAGTGAGCTCAATCAGGTGGAGAACATAGAGTGGGCTCAGTCATGTGGAAAATAGAGTGGGCTCAGTCAGGTGGAGAACATAGAGTAGGCTCAGTCATGTGGAGAACATAGAGTAGGCTCAGTCATGTGGAGAACATAGAGTGGGCTCAGTCAGGTGGAGAACATAGAGTAGGCTCAGTCATGTGGAGAATATAGAGTAGGCTCAGTCAGGTGGAGAACATAGAGTGAGCTCAATCAGGTGGAGAACATAGAGTAGGCTCAGTCATGTGGAGAACATAGAGTGAGCTCAATCAGGTGGAGAACATAGAGTAGGCTCAGTCACGTGGAGAACATAGAGTGAGCTCAATCAGGTGGAGAACATAGTGGGCTCAGTCAAGTGGAGAACATAGAGTGGGCTCAGTCAGGTGGAGAACATAGAGTAGGCTCAGTCATGTGGAGAACATAGAGTGGGCGCAGTCAGGTGGAGAACATAAAGTGAGCTCAATCACGTGGCTAGGAATTAGCCAAATTTACAGTTTCTTGATGAAGGCCTATGCTCCTTTAATAGATGAAAACCAGAAGAAAAATAAGTATGAATAGAGATATGTATTCTTAGATTGGACAGTTGTATCTGTAAAAGTAGTGATCAGAAACACAGATTATTCATTTTATGGTGCTATGTTTACATGTTTTTAAGAATATCCTTTGCATATGCTATTTGAAAATACTTATTGTTTGTTGCATTATTATTTTCTTATTGTTAAAGTGTCACATTGTTATAAACTAACGTCTGCTATGGCATTTGATACTGTTCATATTCAGTAAACATTAATTAAACATTAGTTTTTATTCCTAAAGTAACCCATTGTTTTATTATTCTTGAAGTAACACATTATTATTTACTAACGTCTGCTATAACATCTGATATTGTCCACATAAGGTAAACACAAATATTAGCATTCAACTTTCCAATCAGTCCATTTTTTTCCAATAACTCATTTGAGATTTTATTTTAATAAGTATACAGATGCTACCACAGTTATTGAAATAATTATGAATAATACTTCTCTTTGTCCTTTATAGATTTTTGCACATTAGTCAATTTATTATAGTTATTGCAGCTATGATTACAAAGAATTATCAATGAAGTCAAAAATAGCAACCAGGTCACAGTGTTTTATCATTATCTTGTCAAACTGTTGTTTTCACTGCCTCTGGACAAAATGTCATCTTTGCTTGCTTCCACTTTTGGCTAGCAGCTTAGATTATTAATGAACAAATTATTTTATATGGATATTTAAGTATAATAAACATTCAGCTGTCTTCAGTGTTCAAGTTTTTATTGCTAGCAATAAAAAAAAAATATACACCCATCAGCCTTAATGTTTCCCATTGCTTTTGCTTATTATTGTACATTAGTTTTGCCATACACAGAAAATATATTGGATATGTGTTTTTCCATTGATTATGGTTGATTGGGTGACTCTAAATGTAAATTTCTATGAGGCAAGTATTCATGACATGAATCTAGATGCCTCTGCAGCATTTACTGACATTCCCATCTATATTAGGAACATCAGCTGTATTTTAGTCTGT